TACTTAAGGCTTTGTGATGTAAATTATAAACCATTCAACCCAAAACTCCTAGTCAAAGCAAGTGCCGAACATTGTGGGTTATATGATTAAAAAAATATATATTTATATTTGTTAGTGATCTTATGCACAATTACTTTAGATCCTTAACTCAATCTTCTTTAAAGGTGACTTGTTATGCAAAACTACAAACCTCAAATGACTTTTTTAGGTTAGGAAGAACTCTGGGAATTTTTAGCCTTGGGAAGACCATGTTAAGCTGGCCATGCAGTTAGCCTTTTGTATGAAAATGTTTTTCAAAAAACATTCATTCTATTTTCTAATGACTAATGGTGACACATTAGCGATCATTTTTCTTGTTTCATATCTGAATGAGTGAAAGTTTTCTGCTAGGAAATGTTTTATCTGAAATTAAAACTTTTGTCCTTCTTTTAAAGAATTATGTATGATATACGAATGTATGAAAGAACAATAACAACAAAGGTTTTTGTATTGTATATGCAAAATTGGATGTATAAGTAGATTTTTGTATATAAATATACTAAATTCAACATACTTACACATTTAAACAAAGTTTTGAAATTATTATTTCATTGATTTCAGAAGCAGTAGAAGAAACCTGTTTAATCTCTTCCTCTCGCTGCTTGATTACCAGACAGCCTAATCCCAAAGACTTGTCTCCTATCTTCTACAATGGAGACTTCAGAGCATCAGGGTTAATGATACAGTATTAGATCTGTGGTATCTGTACATGTGCACTTATTTTTTTTTATATTTTTTGCATTAACAACCTCCCACATTCTTAAAACATCTACACCTTACAAGAAGGCAACAAATCAGCTACAGAAAAGAAAAGCAAAGCAAAATAAAACATCTATATTGTAGTATTGACTAAGGCTAGATTCAGACCTAAGTGGCTATGCAAGCTGCTTTTGCACAGGCACAGCAGTCCATTAATATGTATGGGCTGCTCTGCCTGCATTTCATGCAGGAAAAGGGTTCCTGCATCTTTTTTAAAAGGCAGCTGCAGGGAAATCGCATGGTGCTTTTGCACTATGTGATTTCCCACAATCCAAATCATGCTGCATTTTTAGATGTGTGGGGGTGCCATTACGAATGGATGGAAGAGCAGGGGTGGGTAGTTGGGAGTGTGGAAACAGGTGCGATTTACATGCTGTCCCGCACTTGCAACCACCCGCACAAGTGTGAAGCTAGCTTAAAATCACATCTAAGCATGCTCTAATAAAAACATAGTTTTGGAATTTATTTAGCCTTTTACCGGTTCTTATGTTCTAATTAAATTTTTATTAATAACTTGGTCTGTGAAGCATTGGGATTAACTGATTATATGGAGTGAATTTAAACTACTGTGTAAAGTATTGGATTTACAATCTTTTGAGATACACATACAGTATACATTCTGATTATCAGCCACAGATGTTATGTCATCCTTTATATGTTTCTCTTAAAATATGATCCTTCTGGAGCATCGATATTTCCATGGTACTGTTTATGTGTCTATATACAGCACTATATCGTAACTATATCCAGCTACAAGCCATTCTTTGCCCTAGTGCTGATGTATGAAAAGTATGCTGGTTAGATGATTTCTTACTGTCTGTAGCAGTCAGTTGCAATCCTTGTTTTATTCTGAGATCTGCATTGCAGAAAAGACAGCTAGAAGTTGATTGATTGCAATGAGAACACATTTTCTTCTTATTTCACACTTTTCATACATCAATTTGTTTGTGTCTTGAAGAGAAAAATTATAGATATTTATGATGCCATATGTGGTGTAATAGAGGTGTAGGTGGGACAGAACACACACGGAGAGCAGTGGGAGACACAAGGCTTTTATTGAGTGATTTTGAGGGCACACAATGAGTATAGCAAGGTTCTGGCAAAACAAAAGTTAAGTCCATGCCACAGGGTGGGGCACACGACAAGGATCACTGAGTTCTGGTAGGCAACAAGGGGGATTAGTCCGTAGCACCATCTGTGCCCACAACAGGGAGGTGGGCAAGGATTAAGTCCAAGTTGGCACACAGCAGGGAGAAAGAACTCTGGCAGGCAAGGATTAAGTCCAGGTTGGCACACAGTGGGGAGGCAGAACTCTGGTGGGCAATGGATTGAGTCCAGGTTGGCACACAGCAGGGAGGCAGAACTCTGGCGGGCAATGAGTTAAGTCCAGGTTGGCACACAGCAGGGAGGCAGAACTCTGGTGGGCAATGGATTAGGTCCAGGTTGGCACACAGCAGGGAGGCAGACTCTGGCAGGCAATGGGTTAAAGTCCAGGTTGGCACACAGCAGGGAGGCAGAACTCTGGCAGGCTATGGATTAAGTCCGTGGGTCCTGGGATGGAGAGGGGGCTGTAGGGTCTGGCCGCAGCACAAGACCTCTCACAACACACTAGGTTGCAAGGAGCAAGCAGGGGGGAAGACTCACAGCAAGGAGGCAGAGCAGAAAGGAGAGAAGAGTTCCAGTGTCCAGAAAGCAGCACAATATAGAACCACAAGTCCCTGCAGTGCAAAAAGCAAAGCACAATTCAATGTATCTCCTAGCGATGCCTGCATCCATGAGCTGCTCTGTCCATCCTAACTCAAACTCTGCACATTCTGAGAGTTTTTCCCACCATAGGGACACTATATGGTCCTTTCAGTTTGACCAAGCCTCTAGCCCCTGGAGCCGACACGCCTGGCTTTTCACAGCCACAGGACACCATGCTGTCTATGCCTCCTGCTGAGATCAACCTCATCTCCCACCCCCTGCGGGGCACAGGAACTCCTAGATTTAATTAAGCTGACAAGCTGACTGCTTGACACACTGTTGAGTTCAACACAAAAATAAAATAATATTTCTGATCTCCGTCACATGTGGGTTCCTAGAAAATCTGAAATATGAGTATGGAACAGATTTTTAAAGTCTGCTTACAGCTGACACATGCAGATTTGGAAAGCCAATACATGATAAAATAGGTTTAGGGAGCAAATCCACCTGCAACGGTAGGATGCCAGTCATTGCAATTTCTTCAATCCTACATTTACTGAGTGAAGCCAGAGAGGGCTCTCTGTTTCAAAGAATTATATCATAGGGCTTCCTATTCCAGATGCAGTCCTGATGATTTTTAGCTCTCAGCTGGAAAAGTAAAATCTCACTGCCAAGAAAATTACTGGTTAAGGACCCTGAATGAGCCACATGATTCTTCAATTTTCACAGATCGAGTGTTTTATTTAATTTAGTACACAAAAGTATCTAAATGTATGGAGCACTTGGTGTGTCTTAACCTAATGCATATCAGGCAATCTATAGCTCTTGCTGTACAAGATCTAAAAGTGAAGGGTTCAGTACTGATGCAAAGGTTTTAATCTGTGGTATGTAATGGTAAAATGTATAGGAATTGAAGCACCTTTCCCTTTAGACACATGGCTCCTCATTCACCTCTTTTTTCCTTGGACAGAATTCCTGTGCCAAGAATTGGAAAATGGAAGGAGCATTGACATACACACATACACACGCTTATGTACTGTTTTTTTCTTTTCAAGCAACAGTGTATCTGCTGTAAGGCCATACTGCTGCTTTATAAATAGACCCTACATCTTGTGGCTGGCATCCAATGCAATCATATGAGGGGCCTAATGATAAAGGTTTGAGAGGGTTAGATTTCTCTTTTTTGGCTATGCAATTTAAGCCTTACAAAAAAAATTGAAGTATGAATTAAATTATCTATTAGGTTTTTGCTGCTGTCTGAAACAAAAGTAATTTCCTTTCACTTACTGTCCCAGTGGCAAAAGTTTCATCAGGCATAAACTGGGGGAAAATTTTAAACATAGACATAGCAAAAAACTGAAAGTTCTAGAACTTTCCAATGTACTATTATGCTTTCTGTATGTTGGTTGGAGATTTATTCTCAAAATCTGTTTTGTTAAATCATTGCTATTGGGACATTTAGTAGGAGCAGCCTTTGATTGCAGTAAAAGCTCAGCCGGGGTTCAAATCCTTCCCCATTCTATTCAAAGCAAATAAAATGTTTTGTGGAATTGGGATGGTGGAGCACTTCACTCCGAACCCACTTTATTCAACCACTTTTGATTATAGTGCATTTTGAGTACTTTTAACATATTTTTAACATGCTTAATTAATAAAAAATTTGTGTTTTTTACTCTTTCATTATTGTCTGACACTTCTTGGGAAAGTCCTATAGGCATTATTTGTAAGTATTTTGTTACTGTTTGGGATGGAGGAACACTGTCCTGCACATGAAACCACAGAAAATATACATTGCACTCCAAACCCAATGGATGTTCTAATCAGATGAGGGGTTCCTGTATTGTGACAGCTCTGTAATGGCTGGGGGAGCCTAGGGAGCAGTGTTCCTGAGCTAATCAGCTTATGTTGAGTAAAAGGATGAGAGCACTAAGTCAATGGGGGTTGATTTACTAAAGGTAAATATACTGTACACTGCAAGTGCAGTGGCTTTAGATACGAGGGGAAGCTCTGAAATGAGGCGAAGCTTTGCTGATTTCTTTCATCCAATTTTGTGTAAGCAAAAAGGCTGTTTTTTTTTCTTTGTATGTTCCCCTCAGATCAAAGCAACTGCACTTTTAGTGCACTTAGAGTGCACCTGGAGTGCACAGTATATTTACCTTTTAGTAAATCAACCCCAATGTATCTATCCAGATACTATTTTATTTTTCATATTACTAAAGTCTTTCAATATTGGACAGTCAACTAATTTCAGGTATTGTACAAAAAACCCACCGCCCTCATCAAGGCTTGGGTTTATTGTGCAGGAGGAGTCCAGATGGATAGTTTTAATCCTAAGATTTTAGCTCTTACTAAATGTAGTTCAATGCTTGCTCAGGTCTGCAGTCTGGCAGCCCTTGCTTCTGATGTGTATAGTTAAATAATAGTAAATATTAGTTTAGTAATAATATAAAATATATATATATATATATATATATAAATCTTTAAATTATCTATTTTTTTTACTGTTTTCTTTGCAGCTTCAGCTATACAGTGTCCAGAATTCAGCCATTACTCAGTGTGTACAAGCAGCTGTCCAGGCACTTGTTCTGACCTCACAGCTCCTCAGTACTGCAGCACTCCATGCATGGAGGGATGTGAGTGTGATAATGGGTATGTGTTGAGCGCAGACTCATGTGTTCTTATAAGCAAATGTGGCTGTGAGATGGCTGGGAAATATTATGTGGTTGGTGATTCCTTCTGGACCTCTGCAGACTGCACTATACAGTGCTGGTGTGAAGATGGAGGGGATATCGTTTGCTTCAACACCAGCTGCCGAGATGGTGAGATCTGCTCTGTGGAAAATGGATATCAAGGCTGCTACCCCAGAAGGGAAAGTATATGTCTTGTAAGCCAAAACCAGGTGATACACACATTTGACTCCATCGGCTTTCCTTATCCGCTAGAATATTCTTACACTCTGTTAAAGACTTGCTCAGAAAAGACAGAGTTTATTGAGATTGACATCAGCAAGAAGAAACCAGACTCAGGACCCAACTGGCTCAGACCACTAAGAATTCAGGTGGCTAAGCAAGAGATAAGAATTGGTGGAGGCAGCACCTCAGAGATTAAGGTAGGTAACCATAAATAATATAATTATATTTTATTTAATGTTAAATCTCATCTCCAGGGAAAAAACATTTCTTAAACTGAACTAAAGTCCACTGCAGATCTGCAGGACTTTTGCCATAATGCACAAGTACGTATGGCATATTTACACATTACAGTATGTCTTCAAAAAAGCACAGCGTACATTCAGAAGAAATATTATTGGATGGCAGAAGAGGAGCTTTTATTGTACCTGCCAGCAATTTTTCTTAAAAGGATTTTAAGTCTGCTCCCAGGATGTCATGTTCATTTTTACGTTTAATATTATGGCTTTCATTTGCAGTTGCATTTATTGTGTCTTCTGGCTGGCACAGAGTGGGATTGCAGGCACTTCCTGTTGAGAAGACCAGTAATCTTTTTCTGCTTTCTATGTACTGAATGACCATTCATCAAAACCCACTTTTAGTTTTAGTTTAGGCAGCACTGACATCATAATGGCAGCCTGCATGGGTTAGTGATGATCAATACCTCTTTCAACCTATTGATGCCTGATTTATATATAAGCAGCACCTCTCTATATCCCGCTTTGCCCATCCCAGCCATTGTGTGATGAGGAACACTTCTCCTCCAAAAATACTGCCCACCTCTCATCCTGGCTTCATCTCAATGCCTCAGGAAACCACCAAATACTGTGCTAACCCTCCAAAAAAGCTGACACACTCTATGGGGGGGATTTAATAAAACTGGCAGATTCAGAATCTGGTGCAGCTGTGCATGGTATCCAATCAGCTTCTAACTTTAGCTTGTTCAATTAAGGTTTGGCAATAAACCTCAGAAGCTGATGGGGTTCTCTGCACAGATGCACCAGATTTTGGACTCTCCAGCTTTAGAAAATAATCCCCTATGTGTTTGGAGACTAAGGGAAGTTGGAAGATGTAGCTTTGAAGGATGTCCTAAAGCACAAGACAAACAACACATTGCCGAATGCTCCTCCTGCCAGCCTGAAGGAACTAAGCTTTTGTCCAGTGACTAATGAAGTTATTGGCCTTGAAACAAAGTTCAGAGTTATGAAGACAGGCTGGATAAAAATATTTATTGACTAATTATGTGGAGGATAGACTCCCATGGGATTGGGGGGGGGGGGGGGGGGAATAAACTGGAGGTGAGCGTTAACCAAGACCAATAACAGAATAAGACTAAGAAGCAAATCTTGTACTTAAAGCATTTGGTCTCCATTTTGTGGAAAATCTGTGGTTGTCTCGATGGCAAGACTGACACTCATCATTAAAACAAACATGTGGTCATTACTGATATATACAGATCAGTTATTCTTATCAGATAGATATTCTTCAGTTCCAATATTTCCAAAGAGGCCAACATGTTTCACATATGTGCTACCTTAGGACCTTAATTTAGAATTTGACAGAGAATGACCTATCTATAAAACATACATTACAGTGTATTTCACCAAGTGACTTTTTGTTTTTGTTTAAAATTTTGATGCAAATATAGAAGTACACTGTAATGTATGCCTTATAGATAGGTCATACTCCGTCAAATTCTAAATGAAGGTCCTGAGGAAGCACATATGCAAAATGGATATGTGACCTCTTTGAAAATATTGGAACTGAAGAATATCTATCTGATAAGAATAAATTATCTGTCTATATGAGTAATGACCACATATTGGTTTTGTTGATGAGTATCAGTCTTGATACATGTCCTTTTAAAAATAAAATGGTAGTAATAAAAAAAATTGGTGTGCTCACCTGCACCAGTAAAGTCCATCAATATATACAGTATGGGAAAATAGCAGTACAGAAGGGATATTGCTGAGCTGAAAATCTTTGTAGACCAAAATCAAAATGTTCCTACTAAATCTGAATTTGTGCAGCCCACAGAAGCTCCTAGTAGTAGTCCATAAATACTTTCAACCATACAAATTCTTTTGGCAAATTCCAAAGTTGTCAAATTGCCAGCCTTGGCCTGAACAGAACAAACTATAATAATATACAAAGGTCCTCTAGGTTTAGCAAATATAAATTTCCTGTATATAACTGTAATTTCGAAAGTTCTTTTCAACACATTGGATATTATTATCTTAGTTATAAGCCAAGTACATCTGTAGAGGTTACAATAGGTGTCTTACACCATAAAGTACAAGCCTTGTCAATTTTAATGTGAATGAGGATCTTCATATTCCAAAGTATAATGCAACCATTGACTGCTGTGGATTCTCGCAGAGACCTACCAAATAGCATTATTAATGTCTAAATAAAACTCACTGTTCTTGGAGGAGTGACATAAATACTTTCCAAATTGAAGAAAATACTCAAATTGTGAGAAATGCGATCAGAGGTTTTAAACCCAAAATATCCAGACCAATTATAGCATCTCCATTATGCATTGGTTAGCTTGACAAAATAAAATATGAAGGGTTCATTTTCATTACCACATACATTTTTTGGTGGCAATACATCTCTGCTAGAATCACCTGCTTTAGGCCCCATTTACAGTTGTCAATGGGGTTCCTTGTGATTAGCTGCAGGAGACCAAGTGAAATTCCCTGCAATTAGTTGTGGGTAGGAAGCCCCATCAAAACCATTTGGAGTCTGACAGCTCCCACAGCTATTCGTGGCTGTTCGCATGTATTTGTTCATGCTGCAATTATCTGCAGATGGTTGTCCCTGACCGCAGACTGCATGAGTGATTAATTGTGATTGGCCTCAAATAGCTGCAGGAGCTGTCAGCCTCCCATTAGTTTCAGGGAACCCCAGCTAGGTCTCCTGCACCTAATTGCAAATGGTCCCATTCACAAGTCTGAATGGGGCTTTAGCCTAGGTCCAAACCACTGCAGGTGAGGGAGTTTATGTAAATTGCATGTGTTCCCAAACCTGCAGGCAAAACTTGCTGCTCTTTAGTAAACATATGGGGATGCCATTAATTCTTAATGGAACCCCCATGCATCTGAAAATGGGGCACATTTTCTGGTGTGGTAAACTGCTTGGTTCCACAGGACTATGCAATTCCCTGTGGGTCCATTTTAAAAAATGGGATAGGGCATTATTTTCCTGCATTTCTCTTAGGTACATCAGCCCATTTCTGTGCAAATGCACCCACACAGAGCTGCACTAGTGTGAAACTAGCCTTAAAAAAGTATTCGTACCCCTTGAAACTTTCCACATTTTGTCATGTTGCAGCCAAAAATGTAAATGTATTTTATTGGGTTTTTATGTGATAGACCAAAACAAAGTGGCACATATAATGAAGTGGAAGGAAAATTATAAATGTTTTTCAAAATTGTTTACAAATAAATATCTGAAAATTGTTGTGTGCATTTGTATTCAGCCCCCTTTACTCTGATACCCCTAACTAAAATCTAGTGGAACCAATTGCCTTCAGAAGTCACCTAATTAGTAAATAGAGTAATTTATTCTCAATATAAATACAGCTGTTCTGTGAAGCCCTCTGTGAGGTTTGTTAGAGAACATTAGTGAACAAACAGCATCATGAAAGCCAAGGAACACACCAGACAGGTCAGGGATAAAGTTGTGGAGCAATTTAAAGCAGGGTTAGGTTATAAACAAATATCCCAAGCTTTGAACATGTCATGGAGCACTGTTCAATCTATCATCCAAAAATGGAAAGAGTATGGCACAAGTACAAACCTACCAAGACATGGCTGCCCACCTAAACTGACAGACCGGGCAAGGAGAACATTATTCAGAGAAGCAGCCAAGAGACCCATGGTAACTCTGGAGGAGCTGCAGAGATCAACAGCTCAGGTGGGAGAATCTGTCCTCAAGACAACTATTAGTAGAGAACTCCACAAATTTGGCCTTTATGGAATAGTGGCAAGAACAAAGCCCTTGTTGAAAGAAAGACGTAAGAAATCACCTTTGCAATTTGTGAGAAGCCATGTGGGGAACACAGCAAACATGTGGAAGAAGGTGCTCTGGTCTAATGAGACCAATATTTTATTTTTTGGTTTAAAAGCAAAAGGCTATGTGTGGTGGAAAACTAACACTTCACATCACCCTGAACACACCATCCCCACCGATAAACATGGGTGTGTGGCAGCATCATGTTGAGGGGATGCTTTTCTTCAGCAGGGACAGGGAAGCTGGGTAGAGTTGATGGGACGATGGATGGAGCCAAATACAAGGCAATCTTAGAAGAAAACCTGTTAAAGTCTGCAAAAGAGGACAACGACCCTAAACATACAGCCAGAACTACAATGGAATGGTTTAGATCAAAGCATATTCATGTGTTAGAATGGCCCAGTCATAGTCCAGACCTAAATCCAATTAAGAATCTGTGCAAGACTTGAAAATTGCTGTTCACAGACACTCTCCATCCAATCTGACAGAGCTTGAGCTATTTTGCAAAGAATAATAGGCAAAAATGTCCCTCTCTAGATGTGCAAAGCTGGTAGAGACATCCCCAAAAGACTTGCATCTGTAATTGCAGTGAAAGATGGTTGAACAAAGTATTGACTCAGGGGGACTGAATACAAATGCTCTTTTCGGATATTTATTTGTAAACAATTTTGAAAACCATTTATCATTTTCCTTCCACATAATTATGTGCCACTTTGTGTTGGTCTATCACATAAAATCCCAATAAAATACATTTACCTTTTTGGTTGTAACATGACAAAATGTGGAAAAAATTTTAAGGGGTATGAATCCTTTTTCAAGGCACTGTAGCTTAAAGCAGTGTAAACACGTTACAAAATTGTATATGAAATTTAGTGATGCACTGAACACACCCTGTACAGTTCAAGATCGAACATTCAAACTCAGCGGTAGGGGACAATTCACTAATTCACAATTCACTTACAGAGGGGACAATTCACTAAGTGGTATGTTAGTGCATCTGAGTATGCAGCATGATACCACACAGCTACTAAAAATATTCTGTAATGTTTCAGCTGTCAGCAGGGTTCCTGCTGACAGCTGAATTTAAAAAAGAATTGCCGACATTGCCCAGCAATTAAAAAAAAAAAACAAAACAAAACACATTGGCACCCCCCATTTATAGATTTTGAGGGGAACCCCCATGCCAAAATTAAAAAAAAAAATGGTGTGGGGGTCCCGCCAAAACCAATACTGGACCCATGCAGCCCTGCAGGTCAGGAAAGGGTGGGGGGATGAATGAGTGCCTCCCCCCTCCTGAACCATACCGGGCTACATGCCCTCAACATGAGGACAAGGTGCTTTGTGGGTGCCTATTAATAGGGGGTTTATCAGAATCTGAAAGCCCCCTTTAACAAGGGGACCCCAAGATTCTGCCATCTCTCATGTGAATGAGTATGGGGTATATGGTACCGCTACTCATTCAACAACAAGAAAAGTGTAGTGTAAAAAATGACAGAAGACAGCCTTTGACCTTTATTAAAAACAAAAAAAATGTCCCACAAAGTAGATCCAACATCAATCACAATGCCCGCCACCACTGCCGACCCTAAAAAAACAAACAAACAAAAACAAACAAAAAAAATGCTCTGCTCTCGATGCTGGCTCCTGCCATCTGACAGCTGCACTGGGATGACAGTTCTTCAATACAGTGATGACGTCACAAGGGAACGGGGTCACCCCTGCCCCCTTGTGACAACTTCATGTACTGTGATTGTGGCCCTGTGGTCAGGTGCATTGCTTTGACCAATCACAATGCACTGTCAGGGTGCAGTGCATTGTGGGGCGTGGTGGGCAAATAGCCCTCCGAATGCCCTTACTGTTTGCTTTTTTGGCAAACACACAAATGGCCGATGTCGAACGTCTAGCCCATTACAAATGAGATTAATGTACGTCTTTTGTTAATAGGAAAGAAATGTGTTGCCAAAGAATCACAGGCCTATTGTGCCTAATGGTGAATCTGACTGAGTTTATAGTCACATTTAAAAGAATGAGTAGTATAAGATGAAATCTTGTGAGCTGCTATGGTACCCAATTAACTATTTGTGCCAATCTAAGTGAAAATTAGTAGATCGCTTGCACAGTACACACATCCATACAAATGTGTCAACACTTAACAAATGCAAAAATTAGTGCCGCGCTCCACTGAAAAAGCAAATGTGTATATGCAAAGCTTCCAAAATCATATAACTCTTCCAAAGTTTAACATAATGTCCATGTCACATCCTTGATAGTTTGCTCTTTTAAGTGGAGCGCGGCACTAATTTTCACATTTAAAAGAATGTTTATCTTTTAGGTTAATGGATTTCAGATTGAACTTCCCTTTTATCTGCCTTCCGGTGAGCTGGAAATGTACCGTAACAGAAATGGAACAGTGATTGAATCTGAAGGACTTGTTAAAATACAGTATTCAGACCAAGGTCTGCTTCACATCACTCTTTCTACCTTGTACTACAATTGTACAGGAGGGTTATGTGGGTACTTCAATGGAAACAGTGAGGACGAGTTTTGCTTCCCAAATGGAAAGTGTACAGATAACATTGCCATATTCTTAGAGAGTTGGACAACTTTTGACGAGATCTGCAATGGAGAATGTGGGGATTTACTGAAAGCCTGCAACAATGATTCTGAACTACTGAAGTATTATAAAAGTCGCTCCAAATGTGGAATTATTAATGATCCAAGCAACAGCTCTTTTCTGGACTGTCATGCTGTTGTTAATGTATCTGCATATTACAGAACTTGTCTGTTTCGCCTGTGCCAGAGTGGAGGTAACCAGACAGAGCTATGTGACTCTGTTAGTCGTTATGCCATGGCGTGCCAAAATGCTGCTGTAGATGTTGGCCAGTGGAGGAGTAGAAACTTCTGCCGTAAGTTTATGCATTTTAATTCTTACTTAAAAATGCAGAGTTTACCATGATAATTTAGTAATGTATACTTACACTTATTTGTGTGTGCCAGGCATGTTGAAGCTAAAGCATGAAATTGTATAGTTACATTGGTCCAGCTTGGACCATACCTGAGCGAATCTCAAGGAAGATGCAAATCACTTTAATAATCACCACTACTGCATTGATAGTCGAGGTCCCGGGTCCAGTGTTGAGCTTCTTCCCTTTTGCCAAGTAACCGCAGGGGGTCACTCTCTCCGCACTGCTGCCATTTACAGAACACCATGTATTTTTTCAATGAATAAAAGCAATCTCTGATTGAAATAGGAGGCATGGTGGTATAAGGAATCTGCGGTAGAGATGACCAGATCTGTGTAGCTACACAAGGAAACTGGGACTAGACCATATGCATATTTGAAGTGAGATTTATTTACAGTGAAAGACAACCACACAAACAGCAAACAGCAAACATAAAAATGCATAAACAAAACCCCAGAGACAAAATACCTGGATAATAAACCTAACAAACAGAAAATCTACTAACTATAGCTAGTTAAAGTGATACTAAAGTCTTTTTTTTTTTTATACCAAACATGTCATACTTACCTGCTGTGTGCAGTGGTTTTGTACAGAGCATCCCAGTTCCTCCTCTTCTAGGATCCCCTGCTGGCGCTCCTGGCCCCTCCCTCCTTTCAGGTGCCCCCAGAGCAAGCAGCTTCCTATGGGGGCACCCAAGCAGGTGAACTCCTGAGCCACAGCTCTGCATGTCCATTCACACACAGAGCCGGGGGGCCAAGTCCCTCCCTCTCCTAATTGGCTTATGGGCTGTGATTTACAGTAGTGGGAGCCAATGGCAATCAGGAATGAGAGTCTCCAGAGAACTGAGGCTCTCATGCACATCACTGGATTGGGATGGGGCTCAGGTAAATGTTTGGGGTGGCTGCTACACACAGAAAGTGTTTTACCTTCATGCATAGAATGCACATAGGTAAAAAACCTGATGCCTTTAGAATCACTTTGACTCTAGCTAATTATATACAATATATACAAATAAGATACACGCAGAACAGGGGAAAACTCGAGGAGCAGATGAAAAGGGGGAACAAAAGTGGGAAAAGGAACCAGAGACAGCAGGGAACAAGGCAACAGGGTACTGGGTGCAAAGCAGTAATAAGATCAGAGTGACTGGCAACAAGGTCTGGCAGCAGAAAAATCCGGCTAACAGACAAGGTAAAGCAAAACTAGCATAGGAGAGACTTAAAGGGTAACTCCATTTTTGTGGTAAAAAATAGCAAAAAATGTATACATATATATATATATATATATATATACTTGGATGCATTCTCTACACAGATGGTGTATAGATTGCCCCCCGGAAATGTCATTTCCTGCTTGTGTGATTGGCTCAATGATTTACCCAGAAGTCTGTACTAAGATACAAGTCAAATTTTTGGCATCCCCTGCAGCAAAAATTTATTTTTTGATGTGATACTCCCAAAGGGAAATCACATCTAAAGATGCAGACCTTGCCAATTTCCTAATTAAAGCCTGAAGATGCAGCAGCTGAATGATAATTATAAAACCACTCCCATAGAGATTCTCTCTCCACATGGACACAAACAAACAGCTATTTCTTCAGAATAACAAAATGTAGGAATCTGTAACAAAGTGTGTTAAAATCCCTGCAATGTACATAGATTTTTTTTTCTCAATAAAATTGGAGTTACTCTTTAAGTACCCTCTTAGCAGCTAGGGCCAGGTGGAGCTGATTACTAGAAACTGCTGGCTGCTCCACCCAGAGAACCACAGTGCCACCATCAGGTGAACCAGGTCCTGACAGACGGGGTGTTAACATCACAACCTCCACCTCCTCCAGTCACTGAAAAAAATACAAGGCATTCTAAGAATGGTGGCATTGTCGATGTTTTCAGTCCTCGCTAGTTCTTTTTCAAGCCAGTAAAGTACAAAGACAAAACACCAACATATGTTTAACTTATTCCCGCTGGATATTTCCTCAATACTTTCTATTTTCTGTTGTAAAACATATCCAATACAAAATAAAAAAAATCAAATTTTCTCTTAAATTTAGGTCAAATGTATTCTTCTACTTGTCTTTGGTAAAAAAAAACAAAAATCCCAATAAGCGTATATTAATCGGTTTGTGGGAAAGTTATAGCGGCTACAAACTATGGTATATATATATTTGAGAATTATTGGTCTGACGGCCTATCTCATTTCTTGCACAGTTGCAGGCCAAAAAGTTGTTAAAATGTGTTGATGTTTTGCATTTGTACTTCCTTGGCTTTAAAAAGCTAGTGAGGACTGGAAACATTGGCTTTTTTTCTGATATTTATGCTGTTTTGCTGATTTTGTTAACACAATAAAAAAAGTTATTTTCAAAGTACTTTTTTAAAGTTTTTGGTGCAGGACATTTTTTGCTGCAATATATTTTGGTGAACTTTGTGCATTACATGACAGTGTATTAGTGACTACAGAAAATTCACTTTATTGAGACTGGTGTATTAACAGAATTCTTTTGACAGCATAGATTTGGATATAAGATAAAACGAGGTTCATTTTAAGATCTGACGTGGACCAAAGCCAGTTCTAGCTAAAGCATTAGTTCTCAGATTCCAAACACCAAGGTCTAAAGGTCTCATACACACGTAACATGAAATGATGTCAGAATACGATCTGATAGATCATGGCATTTTCAGCAAACTAACCCCTCTAGCAGACTTGTATTTTATATTTTTTTTTATTAACAGCAGTATAAAAATTATTGAGGCCTGCAGTTTGTTATGCACTATTAGAGGTGTATTATACCTTTTTGTTTTTATATAAGGAAGGGTGGTATTACTTGTCAGCTTTAATGCGAATGAGGACCCCCATGTTCCAGTATGTTATACAGCCATCAACCATTAGGGATTTTGGCAGAGACAATGGAATGGATCTACTAAAGGCAAATAAACTGTTCACTTTGCAAGGGAACTTGCAAAGTGCTTAATAAATGAGGTGAAGCTTTGCTGACTTCAGTCATCCAATTATGTTCAAGCAATCATGCTGTTTTTTTTTTTTTGCTTCTTTTGGGTATTCGTTGCAATGCAAAATTCCACTTTATTCACTAGTCTCTGGGAAAAATTCCCATGCAAAGTGCACAGCCTATTTGCTTATAATAGTTACATAGTTAGTCTGGCTGAAAAAAATACAAAAAATTATACTATTAAAGCAGTATTAATCCACAGCTAAAAATGTAATGTATTGCAGCTTACCAATCATTAGATGTGGTGGCTGTATTTTTTTAGGCTTTTTTCCCTATGTTTTCACCTGAAGATCTGGCAAGTAACACACCTCCTGTATTAGTGTGGCCCCACTCTGATTGAAAGAGCACAGGGGGCACAGCAGACAGCAGCATTGCTAAAGTAAAGCAGCTCATAGATGATTCCATTGTTTTTTAGTTCAACCAGCAGGTTGAATGAAAAAAATTGACCCAATTCCCCCATCCACACATTCAAGGCTAATGGGGAAATCACTCCCACTGAGCTATTCTGAAGGAGGGGACACTTCCCTGCAGTCAGAATAAAATGATCAGCGCTGCTGGCTATACCAGACTGCACTGATTGAGTGGCATTCGTCAAACAGGCTAGTAGTACAGAAGTCGAACAGTAGATCGACTTCTGTACAACCACTTTTCCCATACATAGATTGGAATTCAGAAAGCATGTATCACCGGCCTGCTAAAAGCATGTATTGCCGGTGCACTAGCAGATTTAGATATACTAACATATCGAAGCCAAACCCCAGCTAAAACTGCACTTACATAATCAGTTACAGCTGTAGCTGTTTTCCTTTTGGGATAAAAAATTTACATGAATAAATAAAAATTGATCATTGTAAGCACCCCTGTTCGAGGTAAATGGTTTGTCTCAACATTCTTAACTGATATATCTGTAGGACAGCTTGTTCTGTTGAAAAACAACAGACTTACTGGCCAGATCACCAGGTAAAAAAAAAGAAAGCCTAAAATTATACCAATGCAGCCATTACATCTATGAACTGGTAATCTGCAATATAATAAATGTTTGCTTTTGAGGTTCAATGCCATGTTAAGTTTAAAGGCACTGAGAGTCTAAGGCCCCTAGCACATGCGGCCATCTAGGACGTTTTAGTGCACTCAGGAGAGACAGGTGCAGCATCTAGCCCCACTGTAGCCAGCCTGTCAATCTCTATGACTTCATCCTTTAGCCTTTCACCCCCCCCCCCCCCCCACAAAAAAAAAAATCTGTTGCTGTAACTGCTTGTGTAACTGCAGTGTGAGCTGGAATTGGCTTCAGTTTGTTCGTGTATCTGAATCTGCTAGGCCATCTAACACTTCCCTCCAACCAGACTGACAATGCAGTTGTCCAAAGGAGCTCCTTCATCCAGAGTGGGGGCACTCTTATACAGGGAATGTCTTACTGGTCAGATCTCCAGAGGGATAAAGAGCCAAAAAAAAGAAAACTAATGTAGCCACCACATCTAAGGATTGTTAAATTTTTGGCTTTGGGTTTATTATCGCTTTAATATTCATGCAATGGTGTGTTTATTTATGAACTGTGATTCTACAGAGTCTATGTACAAAGAGGTTGTCAACATATTCAGTCCAAAACTGGCAATTTCCTGAAATCTTTGAATTTTGCGTAGAGTTTGGAATTTTGCATGTGTGTCACAGACACGTTTTACATCAATAGAAACAGGGCTTACTTGTTAGAAAATAGGTACAGGTAATCCCCCTTTCCAAGTCGCTCCTTGTCTCTGCACCCTACCCACCTCCAAGCTCCGTTTCTCGGTTCCATCCCCTAGTCACCTCCATGTACCATCCCTTTTAGAGAAAACAGAACCTTGATGGCTGCTAACTAATTTGTATGGAATTTGTTATTGATAAGAAGCAAAGCCATAACATAGATCCTCTGCAGCCAGCAAAAACAGCCTTCCTCAGAAACAGTGGACCCCCAGCAACAATAGACCCCCCTAGTGATAATAGCTCCCCCAGGAACAATAGCTCCCCCACAACAAAATATTCCCAGAGCAACAATAGAGCCAGCCCTAGAACAATAGACCCAACCAGCAACAATAGATCTCCCCACAGCCAGCAACAATAGATCTCTCCTTCAATAATAAACCTCTCCCAGCCAAAAATTGGCCTCCTAGCAACATAAGACCCCCCTAGCAACAATAGCCCCAACCCTCAACAACAGATACGCCCCAGCATCAATAAATCCCCCAGCAGCCATCATCAATAGACTCTCCAGCACACACCAGCACCTCTTCTCATTACTTATCTTCAATACTGGAGGTGCCAAAACTGCATTCTCCTGTGTTCCCCCTGAAAAAATGCCCTGAGTAGAAATGTAGTCTTTCAGCCTTTCAAGCCACATGGTATCTCAGAGGAGGTGGTTGCCGGTAAGTATGATCTACTGAAAATGTTTTGGAGGAGGACCCAGAAAGGGATAAGTGCAATCAAAGTTCACTCATATGTACCAGAGTAGATCTAATGGACCAGAGTGGAAAAAGGACAGAGTCACTAAGCTGTTTACATTATATGCATTCAAAAATATACATAGAAAAAATCAGGTGGAATGTTATTGCCCAGATAACGTATTGCTGATATCTTTTTTATTACTGTATTAACAATACCTGTGTTGCATACCACAGCCTTAATGTGCCCAGAGAACAGCCACTTTGAGGAATGCATTACTTGTTCGGAAACTTGTGAAACCCTTGCCTCTGGCCCAGTCTGCACTGATAGTTGCACTGAAGGATGCCAGTGTGATGAAGGTTTTGCCTTGCAGGGTACGCGGTGTATTCCTAAGAGTGAATGTGGCTGTAATTTTGAAGGTCATCAAGTTTCCACCAACGAAACTTTTTGGATCGATCTGGATTGCAAATCCCTTTGTTTTTGTAATGGAACAGACAACAGTGTTTACTGTGAGACTAGTCCATGCAAGGATGAAGAATACTGTATGGAGGACAATGGGCTCTATTATTGTCAGCCCCGTACAGATGCATCATGTATCGTCTCAGGATATGGACATTATCTTACGTTTGATGGACTCCCATTTGATTTTCAAAGTAGCTGCTCTCTAATCCTTTGCACTACAGTTACTAATTCCAAAGCGGACACTGTCCCAAGATTTACAGTTACTGCTAAAAATGAGGACAGAGATGCTTCTCTTGCACTATGGGTAAAGCAAGTGGAAGTAGAAGTTTACAATTATAACATTGTAATTTATCGGGCATACAAACACACTGTCCTGGTAAGTGAGTTTTACATGTGTTCAAACCTCATTATTTAATATAAAAACTAAGAATATAACAGTATACATGATTTTACTGAAAGTCTTAAAGCTGAACTCCAGGCAGATATGAAAGACACAAATAATGCAGATCTGTATTCATTAAAGTGGTTGTAAACCTCAGACATGAAATCTGAACAAAGCATACTGTATATTTCTTTAATATTTACTTGCCTCTCTCCAAAGCACTAAGTGTCATTTCTCTCTGCTGTCTAGTTCCTCTGTTAACAGCATTAGTCACTTCTGACAAGTTTTACTGACACCAAGAGTTAAAAGGTGACAGGGGAGGGACTTCCAGCACACAGCCTGTGATTGACAACCTCAACTCTGTTCCTGTGTGTTGTGTAAAAGGGGGGGGGGGGGGTGTCACGTCTTTCCAATAAGCTCTCAGAGCTCTTGTACAGTGTATAACTGCAGCTTCCTGCCCCCTGCTTTGTGAGTCTGTGAAAAATCGTTTTCATCTTTATTTAAAAAGGATGGACAAGACAAATGGCTGCAAATGAATAGCTACAACTTATGAAGGAGTATTTGTTTTACCTCTGCGTATAACCAGTGGCCAGTCACTTCACTGTGTATAGGTAAGGGTTTACAACCACTTTAATACATCATTTAATGTATTTTTTTAAATGCTAGCATGGTGTAATACCTGATTTTGACCTGGTATCAGCCTATTTCAGTCCCTGTTCAGCAGGTCTGAAGTTTGGAGTGAAAGGAAGGCACAGTATAAGGAGCCAAGCAGTTCATATGCTGAAAAGCAGAATGTTAGTAGGAGAGAGCAGAGTGACAGAGAGATGAGCTCATTACTGTGCTGCTTCCCCTTTGACTGTCCAGTAGCTGGCTACAAAAGATCCAGGCAGACCTAGACCTGGTAAGTGGGTTGAGTGATGCTGGCTATCATACTGGGGACATCTATCAGCAGAAAAATTAGACAAATGAAATCTCTGAGCTGAAGGCAAATATTGAGTTTTGTCATTTTAACTTTATTGGTGTTTTTATCTTGTTATTTATGGCTAAAGTTCTGCTTTTAAAAAAATTCAGCCTGTGCATTTAAAGTGTATATCTAGGCAAAACCTTTTTTTTTTTAAATAGTTTTGGATAGAGTGAAGAAGGAATAAACCTTCTGTCAAGTTTTTATTAGTGTCTGTGTCCCCAATGGTGAGATGTAACCTCTGTTTGTACTGGTGACCATTGTCACCCTGAGAAAGAAAATTAGTGGAAACCCAAAAGTTGTCCCCAGAACAATAAGTATTTGGAAATCTTCCAGTGGGGACACCTGTTCAGAGAACAACAGTCTAAAAGGGGAATTCAACTCACTTTGGGAGATTTAACTTTCTGCTGCGTCTTTGGCACAGGAAGTAAAGAGAATTTTCCCCAATGGTACACATACTGCACTAAAATAACGTGGAAGGGTGTTTAAAGTGTAAAGAAAATTTAGAAAAAAAAACCAACTATGTTATATTTACTTGCTCAATGGTTTTGCACAGAGCAGCCTTAATCCTCCTCTTCATGGGTCCCTCGCTGGCACTCCTGGTTCCTCTCCTCTCCCAGCTGAGTGCCCCTGTAGCAAGCCAATTGCTATGGGGACACCCATGTGGCTCCCACTGCTGTGAGTCAATGAGGAAGGAGAGAGTGGAGAGAGCTCTGCTCTCATGCACAGCACTGGATTGAGATCGGACTCTGATAAATATAAAGTGGGGGGGTGGGGGCTACACTCTGAAGATGTTTTACCCTAATGGAGCCATTTTAACTTTTCCTGGCCCTATGAAAAACTAAAAAAGTTTTGGCTACACACACACACTTTAGAGCTGGCACTACAGGCAAACAGCTAAACATGCTGTTTATCTATGTGAACTGTCAAAAGATTTGTGATTGTGATCACACAGGCATCTATGACAGACAGCATAGCAAGGTTTCTGACTTCACTTTTCTCTGAGCTGTCAAGAAATTCGGTTTGGTCCCCATCTCTAGGTCACCTCTCAGCTTAACTTATCGCAGACCAATATTCATTGGACACTATAGGGGTGATCTACTAAACCAAGCATGCAAAATCTGGTGCAGCTCTGCATAGAAACCAATCCGCTTCTAGATTTTGTCAAAGTTTAACTGAACAAGCTGAAGTTAGAAGCTGATTGGTTAACATGCACAGCTGCACCTGATTCGCAGTGCTCCAGCTTTAGTAAATCTTCCCCCCTACGCGTTAAAAATAACATTTCTTTTTTGTTTGCTACAGCAATAATTGCTCAAAATTTACTAGATGCATTTTTTTCGCTATGACTTGATGTCAGGGGATTAGTTAGTCAAGGTACCTATCTAGCCTATTTTATGAATATTATTTATTATTTTTTCATTCTGTACAGAATATTGTGAGGTTTAAAATGTTGTTAAATTATAATTGCATGATCTTAGATTGTTTTGAATGAAAATTGCCCCTTTTTGCTTTTTTGCTCCATTCTATGGAGGACATACAGCTCATACACAGCTTAAGGTAAGGTATAGACAATATTAAAGGGAAAGTATAGTCATTTTGTTAATTTATATGTTTATTTATTTACTGAGAATAATACATTTATTATAATTTAAGTCAGTTAAATATGAAATAATACAGGTAGAACTTTAGGCTCCTTTTTTGTGTGTTTTCCTCTGTCACTTTGTCCCTCTGTTTGCTGTTGAGAGAGCTCAATAGCTCCATTTGAAATTTACACACTCCAAAGCTTATGCCTTATTATAGAAGTCCGTCTGATGTGTCAGTCAGGCAAACTGAGCTTCAAACAGGTATTGCGTGCTGTGCATGGTGAAAAGTGCTAGTGCAGGTGAAAGCTGCTGTGGGAGCCGCAGCTGCAACCATCTGCACACACAAACCGTGGGACCCGCAGATGGGTGCCATTAATTTTAACAGCTTGCTGCCCTCACTGGAAATCTTACCCACACTGGGAACCGCATTGTAGTGCAGTTCCAAGTGCGGGCTGCGATTTATGGAAAGGTGCATTTTGAGAAACATGGCAGCTGATTCAAATGAATGGGCTGCCGTGCTGCGGCCTGCAACACAGCACTAGTGTGAACAGAGCCTTAGCTAACTTATCATTCATAAACCATTGTTAATCAACAGATTAAAAATGTATCACCTTTGAATTAGTGGTTATTACACACAATGCTCTGTTTCACTACTTTGCTGCCATTCTGTGCTTTACTAATCAGCCAACCCTTACACTTCCTGCTAATTTTAATGCTTGACATTAAACCAGTATGAACTGACAAACTTATTACAAACATGATGAGCATAAATGAAACTTTTTCTAAGAGTTTTAGAATGGGGTTCAAAATTGTATTTCTTATAGGCTGGATACTCCCTCACTCTTACTATTGGTGATTATGGTAGTATCTATCCCAGCAATAGGCAAACTACGGCCCTGCGGGCCGTATACGGCCCGGGACCGTATACGGCCCGGCGGACCTTTTAATCCGGCCCGCAGAGCGTGATAAAAAAAACCACAGCCAGGGCAGGCAAACATTGGCTGTCAGGATGTGTGTAGGCGGGGCAGCGTGACGAATGTGAAGGGAGCTAGGCTCCTCTCACAGTCCGCCCTGAAGACCGGGACGGCACGGGAACGCGGCGAGAGGAACGCGCGGAGCAAAGGTAAGTGAATTGACACAGGGGCGACTTGGCTTACTACTTGGGGGGGAATAGTACTGTGGGGGATGAAATACTATATGAGGGATGAATTAATATGGGGGATGAATTAATATGGGGAATGAATTACTATAGGGGGGATGAATTACTATGGGGGATGAATTACTATGGGGGATGAATTACTATGGGGGATGAATTACTATATGGGGGATTAATTACTATGGGGGGATGAATTACTATGGGGGATGAATTACTATATGGGGGATTAATTACTATGGGGGATGAATTACTATGGGGGATGAATTACTATATGGGGGATTAATTACTATGGGGGATGAATTACTATATGGGGGATGAATTACTATGGGGGATGAATTACTATGGGGGATGAATTACTATATGGGGGATGAATTACTATGGGGGATGAATTACTATCTACTCTTGGTCCGGCCCCCGGGTCCAATATATGAACCCATTGCGGCCCTCAAGTCAAAAAGTTTGCCCACCCCTGATCTATCCTATAAGGAATACATTTATGAACCCTATTACATAGTTTTAAAGATTACGTACCTGTTCCCATACAGTCCTTTTGGCCTATCACTAGGTCCTGAAGTGAGTAATAGACTGCTGTTTTATGAATTTCAGGTTAACTGTGAATTTATTTACAAACTTTACTCTCTTTTTTTGCTAGGTAAATAATGAAAGACTTTATTTGCCTCTGAAGTTGGGTCATGGCAAAGTGAATATTTTTGCATTTGGTTTTCACATCGTTATTGAAACAGACTTTGGCCTAAAGGTGGTCTATGACTGGAAGACATTTCTGTCTGTAACAATTCCCCGCTACATGCAGAATAGCACATATGGCCTGTGCGGGAGGTACAATGGAAATATGGAAGATGACCTGCAGACCTCTAGTGGCTTCATTAGTATGAATGTCAATGAGTTTGGTCACAGCTGGGTAAAAAGAGATACATTTTGCCAGGTTGGTTGTGGGGACAGATGTCCAACCTGCACAAAAGTGGATGGATTGTGGAAAGCCCAGCAGCTTTGCAGCTTCATTCCCAACAGGAGTGGTGTATTTGCCAAATGCCACAGCAAAGTGAATCCTAGATTTTTCTTTAAGAATTGCCTTTTTGACTCCTGCATTGATGGTGGTGCTGTCCAAACTGCTTGTAGCTGGCTTCAAAACTATGCAAGTACATGTCAGACACAAGGGATTGCTATCACTGGCTGGAGGAATCACACATCCTGCTGTAAGTTTTAGTTAAAAGAAAATCCTTACCTAAAAACGAAGTTGTATTTTTAGTAAGTATGGTAACATGAGCTATTGTAATATGAAATGTGACAAGTCGTTTATAAAACGTGTCATGCCTAAACATTGGGGTTAACCATAGTTACACAGTTAGTCTGGTTGAAAAAAAAAAAACACAAATCCAGCTAGTGCAACCAATATGCAATCCTATACCTACATTGATCCAGAGGAAGGCAAAAAAAAACTAATAAAGCTTGATCCAATTGACTCCAGCAATTTACTCCAGCAGGGAAAAAAAAAGTATTTTCTGATCCCCCAAGAGGCAATCAGGTATTCCCTGGGTCAATTTTACCTATAAATATTGGTATCCAGTTATATTGTGTACATTTAGGAAAGAATCCAGGCCTTTTTTTTTAAAGCAATCTACTGAGTTGACCAGAACAAGCTTCTGATGGAGTCTATTCCACATTTTCACTGCTCTTACTGTGAAGAAGCTTTTCTGTATTTGGATATTAAATCTCTTTTCCTCCAGACATAAAGAGTGACCCCTTGTCCTCTGTTATGAGCTTAAAGTGAATAACTCTACACCGAGGTCACTATATGGACCGCTTATGTATTTCTATAAATTGATCATATCCCCCCTTAATCTCCTCTTCTCAAGAGAGAATAAATTCAGTTCCTCTAATCTTTCCTCATAGCTGAGCTCCTCCATGCCTCTTATCAGTTTGGTTGCCCTTCTCTGCACTTTCTGCAGTTCCCCGATATCCTTTTTGTGAATTGGTGCCCAAAACTGAAATGAATATTCCAGAGGAGGTCTTACTAATGATTTGTACAGAGGCAAAATTGTATCTTTCTTTCTGCAGTTCATACCTCTCTAATTACAAGAAATGATTTTGCTTGCTTTGAACCCTAACAACTTGCATGCTTTTATTAAGCTTATGATCTACCCAGGGGCGGACTGACCATTTGGGAACTCGGACACTGCCCGAGGGCCCGAGGTCAGTAGGGTGCCCCATGAGATGCCCCTGGTACCTTTCATAGGCTTTTTTGGGTGTGGTTTGAGTGTGGGCGAGGACACAGGGGCCCCATGATCCCCTATTGCCCGGGGGCCCCATGAGTTGGCAGTCCGCCCCTGGATCTACCAGAACACCCAGATTCTTCTCCACCATTGATTCCCCCAGTTGTACCCCCCCCTAGTATGTATGATGCATGCATATTTTTAGCCACAAAGGGCATAACTTTACATTTATCAGCATTAAACCTCATTTGCCACATAGTTGCCCAATTAAACAATGCATTGAGGTCGGCTTCTAAATTGGAGACATCCTGTAATGATATTACACTGCACAGCTTGGTGTCATCTGCAAACACTGAAATAGTACTTTTAATCCCAGACCCTATATCATTAATAAATATATTAAAGAGTAAGGGTCCCAACACTAAACCTTGGGGTACACCACTGACAGCCCTAGACCATTCAGATTATGAATCATTAATCACTACTCTCTAAATATGGTCTTTTAGCAAGTTTTCTATCAATTTTCAAGCCCGTAGATTTTACCTTACACATTAGCTGTGTGTGGGGAACTGTGGCAAACGATTTTGCAAAATCCAAGTATACCACGTCCACAGCCATTCCTTTGTCTAAGGTTTTGCTCACCACCTCATAAAAAGAAATCAGATTTGCCTGACAACTTCTGTTTTTCATGAAGCCATGCTGTCTGTTACTTAAAGCGGAGTTCCACTCACACTGTAAAAAAATAAAAGTCAGCAGCTACAAAAATTGTAGCTGCTGACCTTTAAAAAAACAGCCACTCACCTGTCCCACGATCACACGGTGTGCTCCCCACAGCCCGTTTCACCAGCCGTCTTGTGTTTCAGACACCAGCATCTTCAGTGTGGGCACGTGGCTGTGACAGCTTGCGGCTTCACAGCCGGGTGCCCACTGCACATGTGCTAGTAGCGCTGTGCTTCCTGAATGGCACCGTAGTCGTCTGGAACCTTTCACGTGTCCCAGAAGACTATGGGGAGGGAGGATAGGAGGGCAACTCCCACTTCCGATCGCCTAGGCAATTGCAGCGGAAGTGGGAGCGGGTACCTGTGAATTTCGGGTACCCGCTCCCCCCTCGCTCCCCAAAGGTGCCAATCCTTAATGGGAAGTGGAGGACCAGTCTTTAACTTTCCCTTTTGGGTAGAGCTCCACTTTAAGCTATTTTTCTAGCAAGAACTCATCTATGTGGTCTTTTATTAAACTCTCCAGTATCTTCTCAACTATAGAAAATAAACTAACAGGACTGTAGTTACTTGGTAAAGACTTTGATCCCTTTTTAAATATAGGCTTCACATTTGCCTTACGCCAATCCAGTGGTACTATACCAGTTATTAAAGAGACCCTAAAAATTAGAAACAATGGATTTGAAATGGCAGAGCTGAATTCTTTTAGGATCTGTGGGTGTATGCCATCCTGTCCAGGTGCTTTATTCACCTTTATTCTGTCTAAATATTTCTGGACCATATCAATTTTGAGCCATTGTGGATCATTTGGGGCTGTGTCAATATCATCCCCATTATGGACAAGAGCACCCCCATGCTCCTTTATATACACAGAGCTGAATAAGGTATTTGTGAAACTTGCCTTTTCTTTGTCCCCAGTCACCCACTCTAGATTGTTTTGTAAAGGGTCTACATGCTCAGACCTCACCTTTTCACTATTAATATATTTGAAACATTTTGGGGGGTTTGTTCTTTCTTTTGCAATCTGTCGTTTGTTTTGAATTTTTGCATCCTTGATTTCTTTTTTACATATTCTGTTATATACTTTCTAACATTTAAATGATGATAGTGTTCCTTCATGTTTATATTTTTTAAAAGCTTTTCTTATTATTTATAGCTTTTTAATCTTTGGATGTGAGCCACATAGGTTTTATTTTTAGCCTTTTATACTTATGCCCATGGGACTATACACTATATTGCCGAAAGTATTGGGAAGCCTGTCTTTACACGCACATGAACTTTAATGGCATCCCAGTCTTAATCTGTAGGGTTCAATATTGCGATTGCCCACCTTTTGCAGCTATAACATCTTCAACTCTTCTGCGAAGGCTGTCCAGAAGGTTTAGGAGTGTGTCTATGGGAATGTTTTACCATTCTTCTAGAAACACATTTGTGAGGTCAGGCACTGATGTTGGACGAGAAGGCCTGGCTTGCAATCTCTGCTCTAATTCATCCCAAAAGTGTTCTATCGGGTTGAGGTCAGGACTCAGGCCGGTCAAGTTCCTCCATCCCAAACTTGATCATCCATATCTTTATGGACCTTGCTTTGTGCACTGGTATGCAGCCATGTTGGGACAGGAAGGAGCCATCCCCAAACTGTTCCCACAAAGTTGGGAGCATGAAATTGTCCAAAACGTCTTGCTATGCTGATGCTTTAAGAGTTCCCTTCACTGGAACTAGGGGGCCAAGCCCAGCCCCTGCAATACAACCCCACACAATAATCCATCTCCACCAAACTTTACACTTGGCACAATGCAGTCAGGCAAGCACCGTTCTCCTGGCAACCGCCAAACCCATCCATCAGATGCCAGACAGAGAAGTGTGATTGGTCACTCCAGAGATCACGTCTCCACTTCTCAAGAGTCCAGTGGTGGCATGCTTTACACCACAGCATCCAACGCCTTGCATTGCACTCGCTGATGTAAAGCTTGGATGCAGCTTCTTGGCCATGGAAACCCATTCCATGAAGCTCTTTATGCACTGTTGTGCTAATCTGAAGGCCACATGAAGTTTGGAGGTCTTTTGCTATTGACTCTGAAGACATTTGGCAACTTCTGTGCACTGTGAGCTTCCACATGCATTGATGCTCTGTCATTTTACGTGGCCTACCACTTGGTGGAGTTGCTGTTGTTCCCAGTTGCATCCACTTTGTTATAATATCACTAACAGTTGACCGTGGAATATTTTGTAGCAAGGAAATGTCATGGATGGACTTATTGTGTAGGTGGCAACCTCTCACGGTACCATGCTTGAATTCACTCCTGAGAGTGACCAATTCTTTCACGAATGTTTGTAGAAGCAGTCTGCATGCTTAGGTGCTTGATTTTATACACCTGTGGCCATGGGGGTGATTGCAACACCTAAATCCAATGATTTGGAGGGGTGTCCCAATACTTTTGGCAATATAGTGTATTTTGCAGTGTGTTCACATACAGTCTTTTTGAATAATTTCCATTTCTGTTCTGTGTTCTTTGATGTCAATGTTGCTTCCCAATCAAAGTCTTGAAGAGCAGCCCTCATGCTTGGAAAAAAGTTCACATTTAGGAATGTGTAACATGTTACACTTTCCCCTGTTTTTAGGGTGGAACATGTAACATGTTCCTAATGCTGAAGCCGCTGCCCAATTAAGACCCCCCTCCCCATGAGAAGTTCCCCGTACTAGCTGTCAGTTTTTAAAAACAGTGTGGCTGTGCAGGGCTCCACCCACACAACCATGTCATTCATTCCCGGTGTTCTATGAATGAATGAACTACAAGTCTCGACAGCCTTAGTGGCTATCGACTTGTGGATCTCAATGAACAACCACTGTGCTGGGAGCGCCATGGTAGTTCATTGAATCTTTCTGCACAAAGCCCGTAAAAGCTTCTCCCCAAGCACAGCAGACCCATTTAGGTGCAAACCATCTTTAGCATATAGGTTGTAGCCCAATGAAAAGTCATCCCAGAGCTCTAGAAACACAAATCCTTCCCTCTTACACCAAATCTTTAGCCATGCATTCAGTTATCTAATATCCTCCTGTCTTTCCTGCGTTGCGCATGGCACAGGCAATATTTCAGAGAATATCACCTTGGAGGTCCTTTCCTTTAACTCGCAGTCTAGTTCTTTAAATTGATTCTTCCTTGCTGCAAATTATTCTTTCAGCCCTTCTGATTATAAAATCCCCTATTACCACCAACTGTCTAGGCCTTTCTGCACTACTCTCACTACTCGTAGTAGATGGGCTGCTCTCCTGGCTGTTAGGGGTAGCAGTGACATCCAGAACTGCAACCTTTGTGTTTACCACCTCCGCATCTTCATTCAACCTGGCAATATTGTTTTGGTGCTCAAACACAGGACTAGCCTTCCTTTTCTGTGAGCCCCTACCATTCCCCCTAGCTTCAGTAACCCATATTCCTACCTGATAATCCTGATTTACCTTTCCACATCAACCCCACTAACTACCTACTCAGTGAGCAGAAGGTAGTCACACACAAAAGTTTTAATAAGCACTTACCCCTCCTGTCCTAAAGTAACATATCACCCCTGCCCCAGATTTCAGCTGGAGACTGGATACCTGTAGATGGCCATCCAATTCAGGTAAGTATTTATTTAAACAGGAGAGTACAGTTAGTGTAGGTCAGAAGTCTACATAAAAAAGATAACTGTATTTTCCCTATGACCCACTATACATGCAACGGCTTCACTCGTTCTTACAAGCTTTTCAATGTGAAACCTCTTCTACCAAATAAATACACCACATTGAATGATGCTTCCATTAATGCCAGGCAAAAAAGAGACACTTAAAAAAGGAACAGATATTCATGAATCAAACTTAGTGCCGGGGCTTCCTAGAATTATGGGCTTCGTAATGGATGCTGCTTCATCTATCACTGATAGTACACTACTGATCAGGGGCGGACTGACAACTCATGGGGCCCCCGGGCAATAGGGGATCATGGGGCCCCTGTGTCATTGCCCAAACTCAAAAAAGCCTATGAAAAAGGTACCAGGGGCATCTCATGGGGCCCCCTACTGACCCCGGGCCCTCGGGCAGTGCCCAAGTTTCCAAATGGTCAGTCTGCTCTTGCTACTGATTTATGTCCCTCCTTTATTCTTTTTCCACATTCGACGTAGTCATATTTTACGTCAAATGTTTCCAGTATCTCATCACTGTATTTCTAATGTATGTTTTGTGTTGCTCTTTTTACCTTTAAAATATACAGATGTCACATGCCCAGCATACAGTCACTATGAAAGTTGTGTTAGTGTGTGCCAACCTCGATGTGCTGCTATCAGGCTTAAAAGTGATTGCAACCATTACTGTGTGGAGGGTTGTCAGTGTGACCCTGGCTATGTCTTGAACGGGAAGAGCTGTATTCTGCCGCATAACTGTGGTTGTTATGCTGATGGTAAATACTATGAGGTAAGAGTCACTACTATTTCTTTGAAGCTGATCTCTGGGAAATTTTTTTTTAACATATCTAATTTAAATACCTGAATTTGGCTCAGTATCTTGTAATATCTGGTGCAGCCCCAAAAAGACTGGGAAAGTCATGGTCTGCATAAGTGTCCAGCATGCTGACCATGCTGAAAAGAGGATCAGATAGATGATATAATCAGTCTGCTGCTCCTTCTCTTTTATTCAATCATAGACAGGGGAAAGAGAGTTAACCATGCTGTTTTGCTGCTAAAAAAGCCAGGTCACCAGCCTTAATATGATGTCTAGAACTGTGTAAACCTCAGGATTAACAGACATTCAGATCCTTTGGCAGGTAAAAGTTTCAATGTATGTATTCCAACTGTGTATTTTGCTGTTTGCTTAGAGTACAGCTTTTAACATAAATTGGATGCTCATTTTCTTACACTACTAATGCTATAAATGGGTGTATAGATTTTGATGAACATGATAATTTGAGGTTTTCTGACCAAGAATCCCACCTATTTATTAAGAAGAAAGTTTCAGTTTACTCAAAAGTTTAATCCATTTTTGGGCAGATGCTAAATTAGTTAATAACTCAACAATACCTTTATATTTTTGAAGCTACAATACTAAGACATTACAATATCTGACGTTGGGTAAGGAGGGAAAAATGGACTATACTTGCTGTGGCAAATATTACGTAAAGTACTCTCTGCTAAATGTAAAGTTAAGATTATTCATAAAATGTTTACTGTGTCGGTAATCCATTGCTGGAGCTAAAATAGTGCTGCATTACACAAGTAACCACAAATTCCCTGGCAGCTGTGCTTTCCGATTCTAACCTTCATGATAAGAAAGGGGTGTGGGACACGAGACCACTAATAAAAATAACTATTAAAGTGAGGAATGAAGCCCTGGTCTAGAAACAAATAGGTGTGTGTTCTTCTAGGCAGCTTTCTAGAGAGTGTAATTGGAAAGAGGTAGGATGGTTTGAATCTCATGTGAACAGCCATGTAAAGAGGAAAGCGCTAGGAATGTTGGCATAAAGTCAAGAAATTTGTTTATATGGGGGTTACTTTCAGTGAAAGTCAATGTGCTTGGGGGTTCAAACATTCATTAGAAATTAAAATTACTTGGAGAAAAAAAAACTTAGACTTGTGGAGCCTGTTAAAACTGGCATATGGAGCAGTTTGTTTTGAATGTGGAAAAATATTCTTTTGAGAACTATTTGTACTTCTGATGTCCCATATCAGTTCTTTCTTTACTCTCAGTAATCTGAAACACTGATAAAAGGGAACCCATTTGAACTCCCAAAATGTGTCAACTTTTATTGAACATTACGGCCAATAACATTTAATTTTTTGACTATACACAAATGTGTCTGGCGCTTTCCTCCTTACACACCATGTTCTATCTTTTTGTGAGTTCATTTCTTGTTAACAGTCTGCTGTTCCATGACACTGTAGCAAAGTGTTCCTTTGTAAGAGGGTGTTGAAGGCTGTACTCTTAAGAGTATTATTGTTAGCTTAAAAATTGAACTTGTTTTTAAACTACATGACCATGATTGTTTGTGTCCTCCTGCATTATTTAAGGCTTTTGTAACTTTGTGATTACCTTGCTGAAATATGTTTTTTCTATGATTCTTACTTGGTCCTGTAATGTCAAAGTGATTATGCTCCCTAGCAAATTTGTCCCCCCACACCCTTACTCTATGAGGGTATAAGAACATACTGAAAATTTCTGATATCTGGGGTCCCATCAATAATCTATAGCTGTCTAAGTGACTTTATTTCTAGTCCTCCATTAAAAACATAATTATGTATTTTTTCTTCTAAGAAACAAACAGAATCAATTAAAAGCTCAGAATCATAGAATGTCACTGTGTGTGCACTCTGTGTCTTAGCAGTTCCTGGGTGTATTGTGGCCTCATGAAGGCTGTTGAAGAGAAGAGGAAATATATCTCTGTGTTCCCATATATGTCAATGTTTGTTTCACCTGAACACAGAGATAGAAAGCAAGTTGTCTAGAAAGTATTATGGGGGAAAATTTTGTTTGGCTAAAAGTAATTTTTTCCCCAAATTTAACTGACAATGTACATAGAAGTATCAAGTATCTGATTTACAAGCTGAAGCATTTTGCTTCATGACCAACAATGACAGGGAAATATTCTTTGCCCTGTCACCTCAAGTGAAAGACATATAGTATGACAGGATTATAATGCTTTATTTTGGAAAAAAGACAAACCTACCATGTTCTGCCATTGCTAGTCTCTTGATTTTTAAATGATTGGGGCCTGGCTTGCATGCTGGCCGACTGGGTTCAAATCTTTAGAAGTTACTGACAAGATATAAGTATAAGAACAACTTTTGGTTTTATTCTCACTCTCCTGACTTGTATGGTTGTCACAGTTAGGGACTCTAAATATTAAAGCCTGAGACAACCAGCAACTAATTTTTTTTAATGGAAGTCAGCAATGGAAGTCCCCATACAGTAGTTTTAAAACAATTTGGTGTCTATTTAGAGGTCATGGAGTTAGAATGGAAAATTACTGCCAGCTAGAAGTGAAAACAGTAATTTAGCAAAAGTAATGTTAGTGTTCGTTATGGATGATGCAGTTATGGCATAGCAGCCTTCCATGCCCTGTGTCTGATGAGCACTAATAGGACCCACTCAGAATGTGATGACTACTGTGCTCCTACAATTCTTTTTTATGGGGATTGTGTATCTCCAGATAGTTCAGGAAAAGGGAGCGCATGCAAGAAATCATAGTACAGGATCAGAAAAAGAAAATGCGGCATACTTTTTGGCAATAAAACCACCAAACTTTTCACAGATAGCTATGCTGAGTGAATTGGCTCAATTCTCTATTGTTTATACTGACTCTTGCTGACTGCTGGATGCACTTATATATGAATATATTTTTACTGTATTTTAGATGCCTCCAGTGGTCAACAGTATCAGTGATAATTGATCCATTCACCATAAAGAGCAACTGTCTCTGTGGTGACACATGATCGTCACACTGTGCCCAGGAGCCGCTAAATACAGGAGTACGCAGTTGGGAGCAGGCAAAGCAAACAGCACTTGTAAGTATATTGTAGATATGTGGAAGGTGAATTGAGTTGTGAGGTTGGAGGATTTGTTGGAACGAATAATTCAGGCACCAGCGTACACTAATGCATAATTCAGTAGATGCTTCTACTCGAGATCAGTACATGCTTCTGATATAAAGTACATTGAGTGCTTACCAGCAATCCGTACAGACATAGTATTTTATCATTTAGCCCAATTTTCAAATGCCCAGTTATGTCTTAGCTTCTCTTTGTTCTGTGATACATTGAAAATAAAGTACATTTAAAGGCTAATATTAAAAACACTTAAAGCCTTGCCTCCCCACTGTTAATAAACATGCTGCACACTCTTTTGCAATAAAGTATTTACTTTTTTAAAATTTTAAAGAGGCTCAAAAATGGGTCTGAATCCACTGAGCCATGATGGCACGTGCTAACTTACCGTGGACTATCCATTGTCAAAGTCACAGCAAGCCTTTTACTGATACACAGCAGATGGTGCCAGGAGATCATGTGACCTCTCCAAAGAAGTGAAAAAAAAAATGAAAATTTGTATAATAAACACCTTGTAATGTTTCTTTCCTGGTGACAATCTAAGGGAGCATACATTTGGTAGTATCCCCACCTACGTCTGCCCAAAGGACCAATGTACAGCTATAAACCTGAAAAAGGTGGGTGGGTTTAGCATGTTACCATGGATTGGCACCAAGAAAGGAATTTTATGAGGTAAGTATGATGCAATTTTCCATTTTCCTGTGGTCAGTGTGTGGTAGCATACATGTTCCATAGAAAAAACTGTGTTTTGACGGTAGTAATATAAAAACCCCACTAGGGGGAGTACCTTTATTGGAATAAGCAATGGAACATAAAACACTTGAGCCTGTGGCTTGAAGGAAGTGCCTGGGTCAGGTGGATGGTCCATCCACTCGGGGATGATGTTCAGTGGTGATGAATGGAGTTGAGCCTGTCAGATGCAGGGACCACGTGATGACGGCGTCCCGTGATGATGTCACTGTGATAGCCAGGAGACGGAGGGGAAGTCCAGCGTGCTGCCGCAAGCTGGGGAGGTATGGCCGGTTACCAGGACGACATGTTTCGCGCACATGTGCTTTCTCAAGTCCTATTTAGTAGCATACATGTTGTAGACCAATGACCTGCTATTGGGGTTGTATTTTAGGCAAATCCTATTATATAAGAAAGTAAGGAAGTTCCAGCCTTCCTGCTAAAATCAGCTACAGTGAGGACTGCTAAGCCTATTAGTATTGTTGAAAGAATGTGCCATAAGAAGAATGGCTGGCTTTCCTGCCTATTGCCTCTGTTAACGCCCAGCCCTCTATATCGATATGCTTCTGGTTAAATTTGCAGCAATTTCTCATGGTGGCTCCAGCCTTGAAGTACAGTAGGTTCTTTTCATTAACTAAAGGAACCATGAGGTGATTGTGTTGCTGCCTTCTACCCATATTTTAAGGGACTAGGTATAGCTGTTATGACTACCTAAATGACTCTGTTGTTTGTAAGTGTGCTTCCTTTGATCTAGACACATTGAAGGAGTATTTAACCTAACGATGTCCAAAAGCAGTCTGGCAAACAGCAACACCAACAGGCCCAAGACGCAACAACAACAGCAAAGCTGTTAGTTGCCTGAAGCTCAAAGATCCTGTTTGAGGTGACTTCAGATGAAGGCGCATGTCCACGTGGTAGAAGTAAGGATAGAAGCCCTGGTGGCAGCCTTGCAGATCTGAGACATAATTTTCTGAAGCCAAAGAACTTGTAACACTCACAGATATAGTGCATATCTCAAGATGGTGGAACTAGAAGTGGAGCATGCTACAGGGTCCATCTTAAAAAACTAAGAGAAAATAGCCTGTCTGAAAGAAACAGAGGCTGAGAGTTAGACTCTCCAGCCAGAACCACATCCAGGCAATAGAAGAA